TATGTGACCGCATGTACAAACATGGGGGACTCTGTGATAAAAGAAATAAGCCAGACATAGTGAGATAAATGTCCATGATATCACTTATATGCAGATTCTGAAAAGGCAGAAGCAGAATCAGGGGCTAAGAGAGAGAAAATGGAGATATGGTTTCAGTTGTAAGGCAAGTAAGAAATCTGCCAGGCAGCAAATCCTATGTGCTCAGTACACACACATAAATTAATTGTGTAAGGGAACACACAGCATTTTTCACAATGTAGCACAACTTCAAATTATATTCCTTTAAATGCATACTTTTTTTGAGGCAGGTGGGGGATCAACCATACCTCGATAAAGCTGAGGAGAAAATCACTACTCTTAAAAAAGAAGTCTTTATAGCCAGGCATGGTGATGCATGCTCATAATCCCAGTGACCTGGCAGGCTGAGGCAGGAGGACTGCAAGTTCTAGACCAGACTCAACAATTTAGTGAGGCATTGTTGCAAAATAAAAATAAAATTAAAAAGGACTTGGGTATGTACCTTAGTGGTAAAGTGCCCCTCAAGTTCAATCCCTAGTACCAAAAAAATAAATAAATAAATAAAAATAAAAAGCCTTTATATCAGCAGTTTATTTCCTTAGCCATTTTAGATTTTCTGACCCACTCTTTGAAATCCTGAACCAGGTCAAATCTCTTTCTTACATGTCCTATCTCTGCACATTCTGGGCTTAGTGGACATGCTCTGTGAGGAGTCCTGCAGTGGTGTGTCTGCTCATATTGACAGGCTATGGTAGAAAGAGGAACCAGATGTCCTCAGACACTGAGGGCACCATATGTCCAGTCTGCCAGTGAGAACTGTTCATGAGAGAATATAACAAAATGAGAGGCAGGAACTGGGGCCTCACTGGAACCAGCACCCTTATGGTTCCAGTGAGATGCAACCAGAGCTGAGCCACTGGCTGCTGGGAGGACCAAAGCCTGTAATTCACTGTTCCTTTTTTTTAAGGAGCGGGGGTATTGGGGATTAAACTCAGGGACACTGGACCACTGAGCCACATCCCCAGCCCTTCTTGTATTTTATTTAGCGACAGGGTCTCACTGAGTTGCTTAGGGCCTTGCCAAATTGCTGAGTCTGGCTTTGAATTCACGATCCTCCCGTCTCAGCCTCTGGAGCTGCTAGGGTTACAGGTGTGTACCACCACACCCGGCATTCACTGTTCTTGAACGACGTTGATGATATGGCCAACCTGAAGAGAAGTGAATGCCAGCGGGCACAGTGGTCCACGTCTGTCATCCCAGCAGCTGGGAGGCAGATGCAGGAAGATCACGAGTTCAAAGCCAGCCTCAACAAAAGAAAGGTGCTAAGCAACTCAGTGAGATCCTGTCACTAAATAAAATACAAAATAGGGCTGGGATGTAGCTCAGTGGGCAAGTGCCCCTGAGGTCAATCCCTGGTACCCACATCACCCCCCCCCAAAAAAAAAAGAAGTGAAGGCCACATGTGCAAGACAGCTGAAGATGTCAAGAACAGATGAAGATGGCCACTCTCAAACATCTATTTCATTTGAAGTTGTTTCATTTAGGAAACTGAAATATGGTGATGTCCCAAAGATAGCAAGAATCTTCTCTGTGCACACGTCTCTGGCTTAGGATGATGAGGGGCTCTGAGGAGAGACAAGAGCAACGCTCACCAGCCAGGGCCAATATCCTCAGGCACCACATCCTCTCCACCTTCCTCAGGGAAGCCCCTGGAATGCCCACAGTGAGCTGGGGCCAACAGGAGCTCCACAACTAGGGGACTCTGGGCTCCTTGGGCTGGGGGACAGAGAGCTGACCCATGGTCACAGGCCTATTTGCTGGCCTGAGGTGGATGTCATGCCTGAGCCATGTGAACACCCATCTGACTGGGCCACAATACCCAAGCATTTGGTCAAGTGCAACTCTGGAGGTTCCCGAGACAGGATTCTGGAGGTCTGGATGAGACTGACACTTAAACTCGTAGACTCTGAGGAAAGCACATGATGCCCCACAGTGTGGGGTGGGCCTCCTCCAGTCACTGGAGGACAGGAACAGGGCAGAGCCCAGCCTTCTTTGGGAAAGAAGAGACCAGCAAAGGCCCTAGGATTCAAGTGAGACTCTCCCTGGGCCTCCAGAAGACTTTGTATCTGTTGTTTTCTGGAGAGCCCCAAATAAGAAAATGGGGAAAAACTAAGAAAATATTTGCTCTATGCACTTTGCTGTCTCCCTGTTTTGGGGGTGAGCATGGCACATGCCCATCCTCCACAGCACTGTCTGATTAAAGGAATCTCTCTGGCTTGGTGAGTGGGGATGACATGATTGCAGTCCAACCACCCATGATGGGCACAGACTTATGCCCAAACCCTCTCCAGGTATGAATCTGTATGGCAAAGGCTGCCACATCCAAGAGTGGGATGAGGGAAACTGAGCACTCTGCAGTCCCCTCATCTGCAGGGGACACATCCTCAGACCCCCAGGGTACTCCTAAAGCTGTGGGTAGTACCAAACGGTAGAGGTGGGATTGTGGGCCACCGTGCCTGGATGAAAAAGCACTTCACGGCTTCTCTTTGGCATACCTGAACTGCCAGCATCACTACCCCTGCACTTTGGGACCTTCATTAAGTAAAACAAATGTTACTCAAACACAAGCAGGTCTGATAACCAAGACTGCTACTAGGAACTAAGAGTAGGATAGTGCGAATATGCTGAATGGGTGATTCACACTCTGGGTGGGACAGGGCAGAAAGGTGTGAGATTTCATCATGCTACTCAGCAGAGTGCACAAGTTACAATTTATGAACTATTTTGAGAATTTTACAGTCAAAATCTTTGGACTATATTTGACAGTGGGTAACAAACTGAGGACATAAAACCATAGATAAGGAGCACTACTGTTGTTACAAAAATCAGATTTCAAAACTAATTTTTGAAAAATACACAGAAATTTTTTAAAAGTCTGAACTGATATGATAAAAAAAAGAATATTTTCAAGGACTCACCTTTAGGGAGAATAGCTGGGGAACTGGTCAAAGATGGCAAACTGAAAACACAAAACATCCAAAAGGATGAAGGAAAGAGACAACAGCACAAGAATAAGGAAATGGGGGACAGGCTAGCTAGACAGATCAGGGAGGTGAACTGCAAGCCATTCACAGGGTTAGGCTGAAAAAACAACCTCGCTGGTGAAAAGGAAGTGGGGCCTGGAAAGCAGGAGTAGAATGGGGCCAGTGACAGCCCAGGTGGGAGGCGGAAATGGGGAAGCACAATGACACTGGGCTCCACCTGGGAACCCACTGTGAGACACTCTGTTTGGGACGATAAGAGAACTGGGTCCACCATTCCCAAACACCTGGGTGGACTCTGACAGGGAGAAGAAAGCAATATAGTCCACACTGGGCAGGACCCAAGAGGGCTCAGATGTTAGGTCCCAGGTGCAGCCAAGCCCTGGTAGCCCATCCACACAGGGATCATGGGACAGGGATGCTTCTGAGGAACACATAGAGAAAAAAAGAACCCAGAGAAAGAACAAATAGGAGAAATCAGACATTAAAAAAAAAAAGCAAAAAAGACAACTGAAACTGCCAAGATAGGATCTGGGATATAATAGGTAGGAACAATATTGCAAAACAAAAATTCCTAGAAATTAAAATACAGAGCCAGGTGTAGTGGCGCATACTTATAATCCCCCAGAGACTCATGAGGCTAAGGCATGAGGATTGCAATTCAAGGCCAGCCTCAGTATTTCAGTCAGTTTTTTTTTGCTGCTGTGACTAAAGGATCCAACCAGAACAATTGTTAAAGGGGAAAAGTTTATTTTAAAGTGTCTTACAGTTTCAGAGGTCTCAGTCCACAGAAGACCAGCTCCATTCCTTGGGGATCAAGGTGAAGCTGACCATCATGGCCAAAGAATGTGGCAGAAAGAAGCAGCTCACATGGTGATCACAAAGCAGAGAGAAAGAATCCACTCCCCAGATACAAAATATATACTCAAAATCACGTGCCCAGTGCCCCATTTCCTTCAGCCACTCCCACCACCTCAGTTACCACACAGCTAATCCCCACTGGGGGTTAACTCACTGATTGGGTTAAGACCTCACAACCCAGTCATTTCTCCTCTGAACCTTCTTGCATTGTCTCATGTGAGCTTCTGGGGGACATCTCACATCCAAACCATGACCTCAGTGACTTAGCGAGGCCTAAGCAACTTAGTGAGGCCCTATATTAAAATAGAAAATAGAAAGGGCTGAAAATATGGCTCAGTGGTAAAGTGTCTCTGAATTCAATCCCTAGTACCAAAAAGAAAGAAAGAGAAATTAAAATACAAAACTAGAAGAGGAAGAGGGAAAAAAGAAATATAAAGTAGAATGAAAACAAAAGCACAAAGCAGAATAAAGAGGAAACATATAGGAACTAGTAAGAGAGGACAAACACCCACAGAGCGGGAGTGACACGGGCACCTGTGTTTAAAAACAGGGTGAGAAATTACCAGAGACAATAGGAAAACGCCGCACCCTGGGGATGAACTGTAAGCTCAATGAGAGACTAGGTAAAACACATTTTAAAAAAGAGACCACGACACATCACAACACAGATCACAGCAGGAAAAGACACAGACCTCCCTGCGCCTCAGTGACCTGAGGTCGGAAGAGCAACACACCTGTGTGCAGTCGTAGAGGATGCCGGCCTCACTGCACCTGTGACCCAAGACACCAGGACATGCATGGTCTCCACACAGGAGCCAGCTTGCACTGAGGGACAGGAGTCACTCACACAGTCATCAGAGAACATTCACCTCACTGCACCTCTTCGAACTGCTAGGGCCCCGAGGTGACCCAAGGAAACCTTATTCAGAGCACAGCCTCTCAACACGTGCAGCTCTCTGGGATGTGCCCTGTACCAGGTACACAGCCCCACCTCCAGATGCTGGGTGTATCACATAACTGGACTGCAGTAGGGATGTGCCCTCCTCACGGGGGAGGCAGAGCAGTCTCAGGTTCACCTACCTATCGGCCACGTCCAGGTCTGAGTCCATCTTCTCCAGGTCCTTCATGACACTATCCAGTTGCTCACCTTGGTGGTGAAGGACCTTTGCTGTATCTTCCAGGCGCCTCTGGGAACTTGCCATCAGTCCTGTCAACTCCTGCCCCCTGGTTATGGGGGAAGGCGTCACCTCAGCAGCAGCACCTGGCGGGGACAAGAGCAGTTCCCTCCAGAAGTGCTCGATGATGTTGAAGACAGCATTGCGGCTGGGACGCAAGGAGCCAAACCAGTGCTTGAGGTGGCCCTTCTCCAGGACAGTGATGGCACTGAAGATAAAGTGTGACGCTTCCTTCCTGATCTCAACAATGCTAGACAGGGGCAAGCCCACGAGAACCTCTCCAGCAATGTCTGTTGTGAACTTGAGTGAGCAAGGCAGCAAGGACAGTTTCCCAGGGACCCATCGCTTCTCAATATCCAAGTAGTAGGAGCAGGGCCAGGAGTAGATGCAAACATCACCGCTCATCTGTCCTGGGTCTACTGTGCCACACCAAGGCCACAATGTCTGCTCTGAGGGAGAAGAAACATATTCAGCGGGCAGGTGAGGCTAGGAATGGACGCAACACCCTTAGACTAGGGACCTGAGGAAACAACTGGTAGGAGCAGCCTGAAAGAAGCACCAGGGTAAAGCCAAAGCCTCCCTGTGGCAAGCAAAGAAGGCAAAGATGGGGTAGAGATGGATGAGAGGAGAGCCAGGGCTGCCATGGCCAGACCTGTATGTATCTCCCCTGTCACCCCAACCTGAGTCCCTCTGCCCCATCCCACCTGGGCAAGCCCTGAGAAGGCATGCCCCAGGGCCTGGGCCTCACTCCTTGGGCCAGACAGACATGCCATTATGGCAATGATGTCCTCATCATAGCACACTCAAGTGAGATTCACACAGGGTCCCCTTTAAACCTCCGCACACACATTTATTTATTTTTGGTACTGTAGATGAAATCCAGGGGTGCTCTACTTCTAAGATACACTCATCCCTTTTTATTTTTAGAGAAGATCTTGTTAAGAGCAAACTTGTAATCCTCCTGCCTCAGCCCCCAAGTAGCTGGGATTACAGATGTGTCACATGCCCAGGTTTACATGTATTTAATCGCAGAGTAAACAATGCTGTAGACAAACATTCCAGTCTTGGACTCTAATTGCACAGTGTTCTGCGTAACCATGGAGTCAGGTGCACATGTACATGTTTATGACACACATAACTTTATGAGCCACAAGCAGTGAAGGTGCACCATTTGCGTTTTTATGTTTACATTTACACTTATCAAGGCACTCTGACATGTCATGGACGACAGGTTTGAATCAACCCTCATAAAGCACGTGGTTCAGCTTGCTCATTGCACAGATACAGAATATAACTGAAGAAAGGATGAAGACTTGTACAAGGTTCTACCGTGAGTTTAGAGCCCTGGCCTGGCAGGAGCCAGGCCTAGTAAGGCGAGTAAAAGTCCTCTTCCAAGTAGACAGTGGTCAACATCAATGTGGTATCTTTTCTCCCTCTCCCTCCCGCTCTCCCTGTCTCACTCTCTCACTCTCCCCACCACCCCGTCTGAATCTCTGTCTCTCACTGTCTTTCTTACTCTGTCTCTCCCTCCATCTCTGGATGTATCTTTGCCTGTTTTACTTTTTCTCGGCACCTCACTGTCCCCCTGTGTCTGCCTGCCTGCCTGGTCATGACACTGCTCCTCCCACATGTGTCTGCACACACCGCCAGGCCAGGAAGAACCAAGACAACAGCTCACTGGTTGTGGCTGGACATTCAGGTCGCGGAGCAGAGGGAGACACACCATGGCTGAGTGCAGGTGCCCTGAACTCACCTCTGCCACAGAAAAGAATCAAGGCAGCAAAGCCAAGACTGCATCTGAGGAGTGTGACTAAGGGAGAACTCTGGAAATCAGCAAGGGAGAGTCAGAGACAGCACAGGGACAGGAACAAAGCATACAGCAGCAACAACTCCAGCTCCCTGGAAAAGGTAGGTGGAAAAATAACAGCAGCAACAGCAGCTCTACAGTGCTAACTGCAGAGTTCCACAGACCTCATAGGCTTTCCACCAGCTGGGGGCCTGGCTGAGGTCCAAGCAACTGCTTTACTCCAAAGAAGGAACTCACATTGGCCCACTCTGAGCCCAGGACACAGGCTGCTACAACAGCCACTGCGAGGCGCCATTTGCCTGAAGGTCTGACCACCAGTCTGATGCCACTAAAAGCCTTAAGCCTATGAGTGTCAAGAGGTAAAAGGCAGATCCAGCTCAGCCGCGCCGCCCGCAACCCGCAGCCCTCTGCTGGGCGCTGACGGTCCTGCACGCCCGCCGCCACAGTAGCCGGCGCGCCTGAGGAGGTTTGGAGATCCAACATGGCGGCGGGCGGAGAGGCAGTGCTTTCAGTACCCTCTCAGTGATGGGGTCACAGAGATGCATAGATACGCTTAGATTCTACCAGCTGAGAATCTCCTAGCAAAATTCCACTGAAGAGAGACCGGCCGGGAATTACTAGGATTTTTGGAGGTGACAGTTTGCCCCAGACGAGTGAATCCCCACCACGAGATGCAGATGTCCAGACCCGCCAGCCGCTGTCCGCGCGATGCGGCGTGGCCGCCTGCCCACAGCCATCATGACTCGGCGGCTAGCCTCCCAAGACACAGCTTGGCAGGAAGAAGTCTCTAGCCAAGCCTTCATGAAATAGCGAGCCGGGAGCTGAGGCCAACCGGGGACGGACCACTCCCACCCCTCCCTTCGGACACTCCGGCAAGGAGCCTGGGGCCCGCCATAGCAGAGAGGTAACGTCACTGGAGTTCAGCCGATGGAATTCCTTCCCAGCGGAATCCACTTTAGCACGTGTGTGACTCCCACCCCATCCAGATACAAGCAGCCAGGAAACCTCAGGGATCTCTCCGGGGGCGTGTCTGTAGGGAAGCAGAGGGGATTCCCGATCCCCAACCCTCCATATCACCAGCGGGAAGCAGAGGGGATTCCCGATCCCCAACCCTCCATATCACCAGCGGCGACTCCTAAGGTCTTAGCCGCCAGTTTACCACAGCACTGGGGCTTAAATGGGACGTGCAGTGGGGCTGCAAGTGTAACTAGATCTTTGGGGAACCGCTTCCGGTGAACAGGACCTGGCTGGCCGGCTGACAGGAGGAAGGGGGGAGGGGCCGGAGAAGTGAAAGGGCTCTGGACTGACAAGATTGAGAGACTCCCAGGAGCCGCCTTACAGGGATTGCTATCGGCACATAGAGGGCAGAAGCTCGGCTTGGAGGGCACAGCTCCGCCTATGGGAAGAGAAGAAAATGGATCTCTAAGACTTCAATTTTTTTTTCTTCTCTCTCTGTTCTTTTTTCCCCTGTTCCTTCTTTCTTTCTTTCCCGTTTCAAGTTTTATTGTTCTTTTCATTCTCCTCTAATCTATCTATCTCTCTCTCCTTCTTTCTTTTTAAGAGCACCTTCCTTCCCCTACCCCCCAACTTTCATCCCAAGCATTACATCTTCCATTACATGTAACTGTCTAAATGCAAATAGGTGAATGTTTTGAGGCTGTCTATAGGGCTCCTAAATACCTAGCTACTACCAACACCCTAATCCAATCACCTGCTAGTATCCCCCTTCAGTAGAGCAATCTTCAAAAGTAGCCAAGACATACTAACCCTCATACCATCATAGCACCTAACCTAAACATAAAGTCCTAAGAACAAACAACAAATCACTCTATGCATACAGAATCCGGAAGCCTTTTATGAATTGAATGAATCAGCTTTAAAGTACAACAAAGCCCATCATTTCTAGGCATAGTCTACCACCACAAAGGAGAGACAACAGAGATATACAAAACCAAAACAAATTTATAGGAGAAAGCAGAAACACAGCAGTCAAACAGAGCTGGAAAGTAACGTGAACAACATAAAAAAACAAGGGAAAAAAGGATTACAAACAATGCAGGACAACTTAAATCTACAGGAGGACCTAGAAGCATCAGAAACATGGACAGGGAAAGAACTCAAGGCATACCTAACTCAGATGGAACAGAATATTAGAGAAGACATGAGACAGCAAGGCCAAGCAATGAAAGTATATTTTGAAAACAAATTAAACAAACAAATTCAAATGGCAAAGAACGAGCTTTACCAGGAGATAGAGATTAAAAAAAAAATCAAACAGTAATCCTAGAAATGCAGGAAACCATAAACCAAATTAAAAACTCAAACAAGAATATTACAAATAGACTAGATCAAGTAGAAGTTAGAACATCAGATAATGAAGACAAAGTTTATCAACTTGAAAAGAATATAGTCAACACAGAAAGGATGCTTAAATCTCACGAGCAATCTATCCAAGAGATATGGGATGTCATAAAAAAACCAAACTTGAGAGTCATTGGGATAGAAGAAGGTATAGAGGTTCAAACCAAAGGAATGGACAACCTATTAAATGAAACAATCCTAGAAAACTTCCCAGAGATGAAAGATGGAATGGATTGCCAAATCCTGGAAGCCTACAGGACCCCAAACATTCAAAATCGTAATAGACCAACTCCAAGACATATAATTATGAAGATAGCCAACATACAGAACAAGGAGAGAATATTAAAAGCTACGAGAGAAAGGAAGCAGATTACATTCAGGGGTAAACCAATTAGGTTAACGGCTGATTTTTCATCACAGACTTTGAAAGCGAGAAGATCCTGGAACAACGTATTTCAAACGCTGAAAAATAATGGATTCCAACCAAGAATACTGTATCCAGCAAAATTAAGCTTCAGATTTGACAATGAAATTAAAATATTTCATGATAAACAAAAGCTAAAAGAATTCGCAGCCAGAAAACCAGCACTGCAAAGCATTTTGAGCAAAATACTACAAAAAGAGGAACTGAAAAATAGCGCCCAAAACTAACAGTGGGAGGTATCTCAGTAAAGGGGGAGAAAAATAACCAAAGAGGAAAAACTAGCCAAACTAAAATAAATAAATAAACATGACTGGAAGTACAAACCATATTTCAATTGTAACCTTGAATGTTAATGGCTTAAATTCACCAATCAAGAGACATAGGCTAGTAACCTCGATTAAAAAAAACAAATCCAAGAATATGCTGCCTTCAGGAGACTCATATGATAGGAAAAGACATACACAGGCTGAAGGTGAAAGGTTGGGAAAAATCATACCACTCACATGGTCCTCGGAAGCAAGCAGGAGTGGCCATACTCATATCGAATAAAATCAACTTCAAACCTAAGTTAATCAAAAGGGATAAAGAAGGACACTATATACTGTTAAAAGGAACCATCCACCAACAAGACATAACAATTATCAATTTGTATGCACCAAACAATGGTGCTGCAACATTCATAAAACAAACTCTCCTCAAGTTCAAGAGTCAAATAGACCACAACACAATAATTATGGGTGACTTCAACACACCGCTCTCGCCATTAAACAGATCCTCTAGACAAAAGCTGAATAAAGAAACTATAGAACTCAATAACACAATCAAGAACCTAGACTTAACCAACATATATAGAATAT